TCTACTACCGGACTACTAGGGCTTAGGGTTTAGGGTCCACTACCGGACCACTGGGGTTTTTGGGTTTAGGGTCTACTACCGGACCACTAGGGTTTCGGGCTTAGGGTTTAGGGTCTACTAAGAGCTGATGTGTCAAACCGACAAATGCACCTCGAAGCCCGAACATCGCCAGCCCATGGCCCTTCTAAGTAGGGTTTTCAGTGAGCAACAGAAGCACCAGTTAAAACCAGTGAGGTCACAGCAAAGGCCCGCAAAGACCTACGAAGATCCGACCAGCCACCCCCAAAGCCCGAAGCGCAAGACCCGAAGCCGATACCCTGCCTCCTCTCGCTGGAGAAGCAAAGACTCGATACTCAGCATGCGCACCTCTCCAGGGCTAAAACTTCGCAGAATGGAAGGGTTTAGGGTTTAGGGTTCAGGGTTTCGAGGCTGCTAGACTTGTGGAGGTGGTGAAGCTAGTAACAGTAGTTAGCATCGTCAGGATGGCGGTAATTTCAGTGGTGGTGCTGATGGTGTTGGCAGGGCACACGGTTTACTGGTAAACACGATGGGTTGCAAAAGCGTCGTGCCAGGCGGTGTTTATTGACTGGTGCTGGTGCTTGGTGTGGACGCTGTTGTTTTGGGTGGTTGCCTGTCCCCGGGGTCTTGGCAATCGAGATGATGCACGACGGTCGAGTATCAGTCTCAAGCACGATACAAGTAACCCGAGACCCTAAACGGTATCTTGCTCGTCTGTTTGCTTGAGTGAAGCACTGCTAAGAAGGCCGGCCCACATGCAGAATCCGACAACATTCGACAATGACTAGTCCACAAGCCCGAATCTCCGATATTGGAGATCGTTCCCACCTCTAAACTCTAAACCCTGAACCTTCAACCCTAAACCTCATGTGTTGCTAATAGTCCTGAAGTGCATCGGTTTGAAGCAAGGGCGTGGGGTTTAGGGTTCCGGGGAGGGGGAGTATGCAATGAATACAAAGGGACTATTTATAAGGTGATACTATTACAGCTCCCAGCAGCCCCATGTCGTTCAGCTACTGTTGACAAGACGAAATCATCATGTTTCGGGCTCACCTGGACGCTAGAAACCTACCTTTTTTCAGGGCTCCTCACCATGATACATGCCCTTCAGGAGGAACGGGTTTGGGGGCTCCGGAAAGCCGTACCTTTGAAGTACCACCAAGAGTCCACGAAAATGCGTGGGCTAAGGATGAGACTGTGCAAGACAAGTCGTCTTTGCCAGTCCCGGCTCAGTTCTCGGAACCAGCGTGGGTTAGAGTTTGGGGGTTTAGGGTTTAGGGTTTCGGGTTCAGGGGGTTCAGGGTAATGTGTAGGAACGTGATTAAGAACCCTGGCCCTGTAATCCCACTGTATACGGCTCCGTATAGAGAACCCTGATATAAAAAAAACCCAACGTGTCTTAATCAGGCTCCTCTGTTATAGGCTTTCCGAAAAGAGAGTACACCGCTCACATCATCAGCATCCCCGCACAAAACCCCCTCCTTGGAGATCTACCCATATGAGCCTTTGAGACCGGTGTCAGAATGAAGGGAAACTCGACGATTCCGAAATCGTTGCGCTTCTCGTCCTGCCCAAGTTCCATATGGCTTACAGGCCCAAACCCGAACACAAATCCCGATAATCCCTAAACCCTACTCTGAACGGTATCGGGTTTATTCATGAACAGCACTTTTAGCCCAAAGCCATAAACCCAAACCCTGAACCCGCGGTATAGGCTTTAGGGTAGGTAAACCCTAAACCTAAACCCTAAACCCTAAACCCTAAACCCTAAACCCTAAACCCTAAGTTTAGGGGTTTGGCATCACTGCCTAGTCCGTAAGAGCGGGTTTAGGGTTTAGGGGTAGTGCAGTTAACAGCTCAAATCCGTGAACACTGAATCCGCCGTTTAGAGCTTTGGGGCTTGGGGTTTAGGGTTTTACGGTTCAGGGAGAAACGTCATAAATCCTAAACCCTAAATCCTACAGACGCCTCAAGCATGAAAAGAAATCACTCCAAGACAAGTCAGACAACGCCCATGCAGCGCGTTGGGAACAGGATCCCACCCGGGTGAACTTTACTAACTTTAACTACCATGATCAAGCTTACTTCCCCAAGAAGCCAGGGAAATTAAAGTTTGACTGTCAGGATTCTGCAAAATTGTAAGAACCCAAAAGGTTTAAAGGTTGGCTATTGGAAACTAAGTTATTAGTTTGACTTAGCATTGAAGGAAGTATAAAGTTATAGTAATAGAAGTAGATCCCTAAGCAAGAACCGAGTCACGGTTTCTGCCGGCTTCCATGTTAGGAGCGGGGCCTTACGATTTCGGATACGTTTTCGGGTTGTGGCATATACATACTAGATGACAAACAAAGGAAGCATGATACAAGTTACTCAGGGGTCTTATTCCTTCTCCGCTACAGTAATGGGTGTTCTGAGGGTTCTATAGGTTCTGACAGTGTTTTGAAGTGGGTTAGCATTGGGAGGAGAAAATGCTGGCTAGGCACTAAGACACTTTTGGAACCCATCCCAAACCATATCAACGGCCCGAATTTACCATCCTAAACCCTAAACCCTAAACCCTAAACCCTAAACCCTAAACATGGTAGCAAAGGGTCAATGCCACAATGTTTGGATCTTTAGCCCCTGAGGCTAACCTGATAGCCTCATAGCAGCCCAAGCCCCATACCCTAGCCTCTTTGCCCTGGGGCCTGAATATTTCGGAATACTAGTTTAGGGCTTATAAGGGTTTCTGTTCCTTAGATGTTGTGGGGATTCCTTGTAAAACTGTACACATGAGACATATGTTATCCGAAGCACGTTTTTCAAGTACTTGCACCATTCGAAGCCCGAACTTGGATCAACCTACAAAGACAAAAGCCATCCGACGCTGAAGTCTCGTAGTCTCGTGATGCTCCTCCTATCCAACACTACGAACATCCAACGACAAATGCAACCACAAAGGCAGACACTTGAATGCCTGCTCAGCTTGGCAATCTACCTGTAGCCTCGAGCCCGACAAAGTACACGCAATACTCTCCGCGAATTATACGAATTAACCCCTGTAAGCCCATAACCCTAAACCTGCATGATAGCAGGATATCCCCTTTAAGCCCAGAACGCGCAACCTCCCGGACTGGCGAGACAACCGTCCAAAGCCCATGACCTTAAACCCCCATTAAAACTAGGCGATTGGAGCCGTGGGTAATGTCGGGGCCTTAATAACTAGAATAGGGTTTTGGGGCCCATTATACTGTAATCATCATAAGGAATCCCCACAATAGTGCTGGAAACTATTTCGGCCCCTAAATTTTTCTGTCGAGTTGTACCCCTGCCCTAAACCCTAAACCCCAAACCCCTAAACCCTAAACCCCAAACCCCTACACCCTAAACCACTAAACCCCAATCCCCTAAACTCTAAACCCCTAAACCCTAAACCCCTAAACCCGTAAGCCCTAAACCCTAAACCCCTAAACCCTAAACCTAAGGCTTGGGCCACTACGAGATTGCCCCGATGCCATACTACGGCCACGACTACAAAGTGTGGGGCTGAGGACTTGGGGTTTGAGG